GTAGGCGGTTAAATTAGTAGCCATACTCTAACAGCTCTAAAAGAGATATACTCGTCGAGGCACTTTTATGCAACCACATAGTCAACTTCAACGCTGCTTGAGTGCGTTCTCAAGTTGCTTTCTTGCAAATTACGCTTTTTTAGAAAAGTATAATTTGGATCGTGTGATTTTTTCTCTAGGTTTGCGTGACTGTGTGAGTAACAATTTTGAAACTCAGAAAGGAAATAAAAGAATAATACTGCTGCCTACTTCGAGGATTACAATATCTTTCTCTAAAATGTTTTGGTTTGTTATTTTTTTAAAAAACTCCACCTGCGCGGGTAAGACAGCCCCGGGTATTGTGCTTAAGAAGAAGACCTTTTCACGCAGGTCGAGAAAACCCCCGAACCTCTGGCCCACCCATATACAGTAGAACCGTAGCTTCCGTGAGACCTGTGCCTTAGACCTGTGCTTCCGTGAGACGAGGGTTTTTTTTTTCAACGCGCGGATAAACTGCGCCTCCTCCAGCCAACAAATCCGTCCCCCCCCCGAGGGGGGTCGAACTCTGACCGTCAGGGTGCAAAGCGCATAGTCAGACAAACTGATTTAGCGTTCTTTTGGTGGTTTGTTATTTAAACCGTCTTTAAGGCCAAGTGCTCAAGATCCATTCAACAATTGGAAGTCTCACATGATTAAATCATTTAAGGTTGCTAAATAAGTTCTTGTTTTGGCAAGTTTTTCTGGAATTTCATCTAATTTTTTTGAGTGAAATACTAATTTAAAAACAATTTTATAAGAGAAGCTCGGAGATAAAAGGCTATCTATGTTACAAGAGTGAACTCTACAACCTCTGTGATACCCTAAAAATTACATCATTTTAAAATAGGTGAATTTGATTTAATTATACATTTTGTGAGCATTTAAATTTAGAAAAAATAATATTTGTAAAAAACAAAATCAAATATAAGGTCTACATACATGTATGCGCATACATGCTGCTGCATATTTTGTTTGTGATGCTTTAATTTGGTCAAAATTTACAAAAGGATTTAAGTTTGAATTTAAATTGGATTTAAAATGGTGTTTAAGAAAATAGAAAAGACGTTTTATTTTTTTTCTTCTCCCTCTCTTGAATTTGGCCTGAGCAGCCCAGCTCGGCATGGCTTCCTGCGCGGTCGTTTTCCCCGCCGGCCTAGTTTTTCCCCGTCGCAGGTCGCTTCGGCCCATGTCTCCACAGTGGGCCAGCAGTCCACGGCAGCCCGTCGCCCGCGTCATTCTCTTTCCTCCCCCGCGGGTGTTGCTGACCAACAGGCCCACGCGTTAGATTCTTCCTCCCCGAGACGAGTCCGCACCGGACTCTACTGTCGCTCCGACTCCGCCGCTGCTACGTATCGCCTTGTCGTGCCTCCTAAGGCTCCGGGGCCTCAAATAGCAGCCGCACCGCGCTGCTACCCCCACATAACCATCAGCGCAGCCGTAGCCTCGTCGAGTCGACGCAGCGCTGTCAAACCCTAGCCGCCGATGAGCCGCTCACCTCGCCAAGCACTTCGCCGTCACCGTCTGCTCCACGCCGCTGAAAATTCCCTTGGTGAGCTCGCATCGCCGTCCTCTCCCTTCCCATGACTTTCTCGTGGCCAATGATGCCCGGAGTCATTGGATTGATGAACTCCGGTGAGGTCTCGTCGTTATCCATGGAGGGCCGCCGTGCAAAGCGTTGCCGGCTAGCCGCGCGCCTTTATTTCCCCTCCCGATCTTTTGTGTGCCGTTAGATTTCGATCCAACGGTGGAAAATAGCCCGTACCGGTTTGGCTGGTCGTTTTTTCAAAAGTGCCCCTGCAATTTTTTATGTCTAAACCTGCAGACAATGGCGTACTCCTGGAATACGTTTCCTATTATGAAAGCGTAGTTTCCTTTTAGTAGGTTTAAAATACGTATTCATCTATTTACAGTTTTGCCACTAATTTTGTTTTAGCCCTAAAATCTTTGTTTTAACTCCGATTTGATCAGTTCAAGTTGCATTAGATTCATAATTGCGTAATCTACATGTTCATACTACTGTTAAGTATGTTTTCAACTTTTGAATTTTGAGGTCAGATTTAATTTATTATTTTATTAAAGGAAATCTTGTTTTATTCATAACTTCTTCGTTTTAGCTTCGATTTTTGTGATCTTTCGTGTCTGTGTGTTCATAGTGAGACGTAGATTCATTTTACAAACTTTTTATCTTGATTTTATGCTGTTGGTGTACTGTTCTAATCTATAGCCTTTGTTTGCTATGCATGATTGCTTTTGGATGCTTGTATGTTGCTGTGATTATCGCGTATAGACGGTGAGCAATTCGGAGTTGATCAAGAATACTACTTTGATGAGCAGGATCAGCATGAACACTTTGTTCAAGGCAAGTATAACATAGGATCAACCTTGTTTTCTATCAACTTTAATACATTTAATTCATATTACATGTGTCACTTTGATAGGGATTTTCTAGAATTGAACTTATACCTTATCTCCTATGGGATATGCATTGGGTAGTTTTGTTAGTGCTCAATTAAACTATGATCTTGTAACTTGACTAATGATATATGCAATAAACATTAAAACGTGACTTTTTAGCAACTTGGAAACAGGGGGCTGGAGTATTTAGGTACTTTCTAAATGCTTCAGATTTCTCTCCCTAAGGACTTATCTGTAAGTGATCATCTGAAACTTACACTACAGCTGTGAGGGCCACATGGCTCTGGCTTTAGCTCAGTATGAGGACCTTTTCTAGCTTGTTAGAGGTTACCTTTATGGCGTAAGAATGGCTTGTCGAATCGGGTATAGGACAACCTCTACTCTTATGTGTATAGCCATGATAGAATTGTGTCATTTGATAGGGGGTTTATATATCTGTTTATCGAGTGAATCTAATGGCCTCAACTTGTTAGACGAACCTTTGAAAGGCTTCAAAGTGAACCCTGCCTGCTCACCTTAGGAGTGTTTTGGGAGTAATTAATCTGGGTATATTGGTATCACGACTCATAGTGAAAGTGTACAACCTCTGCAGAGTGTAAAACTGGTATATCAGCCGTGCTCATGGTCACGAGCGGTCTTAGAACCCTTATAGAATAGATGATCACTAAGAATTATCCGTTTATTTTATTCATTATTCATGTTTACATCGATTATGTGTTTATTATGGGATTAAAACAACTTGTTGCTACTTTTACGCTAAAAATTATGAAAATTAAAAGCTAAATGCTGTTAAACCTGTGTCGAGTCTTTTGAGCCTCATGAACCCCATGTTACACTTGTTGAGTACGACACATACTTACGCTTGTTTATTTTTATTATTTGAATAAAAATTCCGGATGGGTAACAGATGACTATGATAATGACGACTTTCCTGAGGATTAATAGACTTGTGGTCAACCAGTTGATGTCCCTATGATATGGAGCTTCCGCGAGAGATTTTTTTTCTTTATACTTCCGCTATATTTATGTGAAGACTCTGTCTTATTATATATGACGTAATAAACACGTGTGATGGTACTATCTATAATTTATTGGTTTATGTGTGTGACTGATCTCTAGACGCACATAAGATTATGCATCTCATTTTATCCTTAAAATCGGGTGTGACAACCTCCGTCCTAAAAAGAATAATTCTAAGTATGAATTGTAGGGGGTGTTTGGATATAGAGACTAAAGTTTAGTTCTTGCCACATCGAATGTTTGGATGCTAATTAAGAGGAGTAAACATAAGCTAATTATAAAACTAATTATACAAATGAATGATAATTCGTGAGAGAAATCTATTAAGCCTAATTAATCTATTATTAGCGCATGTTTACTGTAGCACCACATTATCAAATAATAGACTAGTTAGGCTTAATGGATTCGTCTTGCAAATTATTAGCCTCCATCTATGCATTTAGTTTTTGTAATTAGTCTATATTTAATACTCCTAATTAGTAACCAAACATTCGATGTAACAGAGACTAAACTTTCGACATGGGGATCCAAACACCCTTGTATTCTTTTTTTTTTGACAAAAAGAGTATACCACAAGAATGATGTCATCATCATGCTTAGATCGTTTTTGTAAAGCTTGAGTTTATCTAAAAACAAAGAAATCAGGATAAAAATCATGATTTGGTGGTTTTGATTTCTAGCGTCCACAATAACTTTGGCTTTACCATTTTTTTGGTTTGATTTTGGTTTTTGAAGCTTATGACAGGACTTAAAATCGATAGAGAGTGCTTAAACAAAAAGCCTTCCAAAATGATCATTCATATTCACTTGAATTTATTAACCCAGCTTATCAGTCATGATACAATATTTTTTTATAAAAAAACAATATTAACGGATTTATCGTCTATAAAAACCATCCGCCAAATTCAAGCGACCGTCGGTGCCTGTTTAACGGCGTCGACAAGTCTAACGGACACCAACCAGCGAACCACCAGCGCCGAGCAAGCGAAGCCGACGTCACGGCCGAGACGTTGACACCTTGGCGCGGCTTCTCTCTGGCCCCTCTCGAGTCTCGAGAGTTCCGCTCCACCTCCACCGGTGGCGGTTTCCAAGTCCGTTCCGCCTCCTGCTCCTCTCACACGGCACGAAACCGTCACGGCACCGGCAGCACACGGGGGATTCCTTTCCCACCGCTCCTACCCTTTCCCTTCCTCGCCCGCCCGCTATAAATAGGCAGCCCCCTCCCCAGCTTCTTTCCCCAATCTCGTCTTATTTCGTGTTGTTCGGAGCACACACACAACCCGATCCCCAATCAATCCCCTCGTCTCTCCTCGCGAGCCTCGTCGATCCCCGCTTAAGGTACGGCGATTATCCTCCCTCTCTCTACCTTCTCTAGACTAGATAGATCGGCGATCCATCGTTAGGGTCTGCTAGTTCCGTTCCCGTTTTTCCATGGCTGCGAGGTACAATAGATCTGATGGCGTTATGAGGTTAAGTAGTCATGCTCTTGCGATTTTTAGTCCTTTAGCACATTGATTTAATTTCGGATGGTTCGAGATCGGTGATCCATGGTTAGTACCCTAGGCTGTGGAGTCGGGTTAGATCCGCGCTGTTAGGGTTCGTAGATGGAGGCGAGCTGTTCTGATTGTTAACTTGTCAGTACCTGGGAAATCCTGGGATGGTTCTAGCTGGTTCGCAGATGAGATCGATTTCATGATCTTCTATATCTTGTTTCGTTGCCTAGGTTCCGTTTAATCTATCCGTGGTATGATGTTAGCCTTTGATATGGTTCGATCGTGCTAGCTACGTCCTGTGCACTTAATTGTCAGGTCATGACTTTTAGCATGCCTTTCTTTTGGTTTGGTTTTGTCTGATTGGGCTGTATATCAGAGTGTATACTGTTTCAGACTACCTGTTGGTTTATTTATTAAATTTGGATCTGTATGGGTGTCACATATTTTTATAATTATGATGGATGTAAATATCTCTTCATCTTTCAGATATAATATGGATAGGTATATATGTTGCTGTCGGTTTTACTGGTACTTTGTTAGATATACACATGCTTAGATACATGCTGTTACAGTTTAATAATTCTTGTTTATCTAACTAACAAATAAGGATAGGTGTATATGTTGCTGTGGGTTTTACTGGTGCTTTGTTAGATATATACATGCTTAGATACATGGAGCAACATCCTGCTACGGCTTAATAATTATTGTTCATCTAGTAAAAAGCATGCTTTTTAATTATTTTGATATACTTGGATGATGGTATCAGCAGCTATGTGTGGATTTTTGGCCCTGCCTTCATATGCTGTTTATTTGCTTGGGACTGTTTCTTTTGTTGATACTCACCCTGTTGTTTGGTGATCCTTCTGCAGATGCAGATCTTTGTGAAGACCCTGACCGGCAAGACTATCACCCTCGAGGTGGAGTCTTCTGACACCATTGACAACGTTAAGGCCAAGATCCAGGACAAGGAGGGCATCCCCCCTGACCAGCAGCGGCTCATCTTCGCCGGCAAGCAGCTCGAGGACGGGCGCACACTTGCCGACTACAACATCCAGAAGGAGAGCACCCTCCACCTTGTGCTCCGCCTCAGGGGAGGCATGCAGATCTTCGTGAAGACCCTTACTGGCAAGACTATCACCCTTGAGGTGGAGTCCTCGGACACCATCGACAATGTCAAGGCCAAGATCCAGGACAAGGAGGGCATCCCCCGGACCAGCAGCGTCTGATCTTTGCCGGCAAGCAGCTTGAGGATGGGCGCACTCTTGCAGACTACAACATCCAGAAGGAGAGCACCCTCCACCTTGTGCTCCGCCTCAGGGGAGGCATGCAGATCTTCGTGAAGACCCTGACTGGCAAGACAATCACCCTTGAGGTTGAGTCTTCTGATACCATTGACAACGTCAAGGCCAAGATCCAGGACAAGGAGGGCATCCCTCCGGACCAGCAGCGTCTGATCTTCGCCGGCAAGCAGCTCGAGGACGGGCGCACTCTTGCTGATTACAACATTCAGAAGGAGAGCACCCTCCACTTGGTGCTGCGTCTCAGGGGAGGCATGCAGATCTTCGTGAAGACCCTTACTGGCAAGACGATCACCCTTGAGGTGGAGTCCTCGGACACCATCGACAATGTCAAGGCCAAGATCCAGGACAAGGAGGGCATCCCACCGGACCAGCAGCGTCTGATCTTCGCCGGCAAGCAGCTGGAGGATGGCCGCACCCTTGCGGATTACAACATCCAGAAGGAGAGCACCCTCCACCTGGTGCTCCGCCTCAGGGGTGGCATGCAGATCTTTGTGAAGACATTGACGGGCAAGACCATCACCTTGGAGGTTGAGAGCTCTGACACCATCGACAACGTGAAGGCCAAGATCCAGGATAAGGAGGGCATTCCCCCAGACCAGCAGCGTCTGATCTTCGCTGGCAAGCAGCTAGAAGATGGACGTACCCTTGCCGACTACAACATCCAGAAGGAGAGCACCCTCCACTTGGTGCTCCGCCTGAGGGGTGGTATGCAGATCTTTGTGAAGACCTTGACTGGCAAGACCATCACCCTGGAGGTTGAGAGCTCTGACACCATCGACAACGTGAAGGCCAAGATCCAGGACAAGGAGGGGATTCCCCCAGACCAGCAGCGTCTGATCTTCGCCGGCAAGCAGCTGGAGGATGGCCGCACCCTTGCAGACTACAACATCCAGAAGGAGAGCACCCTCCACCTGGTGCTCCGTCTTCGCGGTGGTCAGTAAGCCATCAGTCGTTGAAGCTGCTGCTGCACCTGGGTCATCTAGTTCCTCTTGTCTCTGCCATGGATAGTCTTTGAAGTATTTGCATGGTCTGTATTGTGACTGAGTTTGTTTCATGGACCGGTTGTGTTCCTCTGTGTTCTACCCAAAACTATTGTGCGGCAGCATAGCTTAATCATGAATAAATGTGATGTTTGAATTTGAAATATGCGCTGAATATTGTTTTTTGTTATTTTAGTTAATGTTACTAAATTGGTTAGTAGCTTTTAAATTTTGTCTACTGGTGTTTGTCTCATCTACATCTTTTTTCTGAATGTTTACTTTAGGTTCTGGCAAGCTCAATTTCTGAGACTGGTTAAAACTTGCTACCTAAAAAGAATGCAGGTCTTGATTTTCAATATTAATTATACATATTTTCTATGAATTTACTTAAAAGAAAATTTGGCTTAATCAAAGCTAATATTTTCTATGAATCATATTGATATACATGTTTGATTGTCCGATTACATGTTTGATTATTTGGTTTGTTACCATCGCTATTTTCATTTAGTTTGTCTGTTCCTTATTGTAAGCTGGTTACCCCAGCGGTTTGGAGTTGATCGTTGTTACTACTTAAGCTTTCTATAAAAGCTGGATTTACCCCGTCAAAAAAAATAATGTGTTCTTCATATTCATATTATATTACTCTGAAGCCTAGTTTTGTTCTTGACAAGAGTAAATTTTCTCTGGAGACAAAGTCGCTTGCTTTCTGCATGTCTATTTTTTTGCTTGACCCATTGCAAAACAAACAACTAACCTAACTTTGTGTGATGTTGTAATGTTGTTTTGTGTCTACCTATGGGTCAAATTAGTTTACTGGATACTGCTAGAAGCATAGTTAACCCTTGATTAAAGAAATTTCACGATTATAAAACTGATGGATGAATGTTATTGGCCTGGAAACAGCTGCTTGCTGATTGATCAAGCTCTGTTTGATTTGTTAAATATCAGTATATCACAATGTGTTCAGAGAAATTAAATTCTTCATATCCTTCAGTTCGTATTGTACTGATCACTATAGAGAGCAAGTTCTGATAATGTCAATTAATTAATATTGCTTTGGCTTTTGAGTTTTGTTAGGCTAGTGTTCATCTAGCCTTGCAGGTTCCGGCTGTTTCCAGTTTCTTGTTGGATGCTCACTCTGTATTGACTATAGAGTATTCAGATACCAATGTCGGAATACTTACAAATGTCCCAATGTGGTCACATCACCCTGTGGGTTGTAGATTAATATGTTTGATTAGATTCAGATCTTGTTGAATCAAAGGAGATGAAGGACATGTACACTGTGGCAGTCCGTTCTCAGACATACTTCTCTAAACTTTTTTTTTTTTTAGAAATAGAAATCAAGAACCTGTTTCTATGGTGCAGAACTAGTAGGCGACAGCCATCTGTCGTGTCCATTGTGACCTGTTAGAATAGTGATGGCCTTGTGCAATGCCCAAAATAAACCCTTAAGACCATCACAACATAGAAAATCCTTTTTTTTTTTAGAAGAGAGGGGGTGAAAGCCTGAAAGTGAATTTTTATCCATATACGAAGCAATTTGTATTTTACTTGCAATAGATAGAGAAATGAGAGCAGCTAGCAGCTCTGCATTTCTGAACTTGTTGGGAGTGCCGCAGCCCTGTAGCTGTTACCAACTGAGTCAAGAACAAAGCTGGAGGTGCATTTCATATGGCAGATAAGAGATTGCATAGTTGGCTCCGATTTGGCAAGTGATGGACGCCCACGCGACAAGATGGGATCATAGTGCTCACCAACCCTATCAATACTATTGCAAGTCGTGGCAAGATCATCAAGTTTTGTACTAGGAGATAGCATGGCATGTGATTCAGTCTTCAACTCCGTATTTCTCTCTCCAACAGTCCAGCTCCATACTTTTTCTGCACACTGCAGTAGCGTGGGACACATGAGTACACGAGCGCATACCGGAACCAATACATCTTTTGGGCCACGAAGGCTATTGGACTTGTTTTGTTTGCACCACTCGTTGGACATGGGCCTCTAAGAAAAAGTCTACTCCATATTTAATTGTATTAAAATCTGTCAAGCAACACCCTTTCAAAACAAAATTCTAAAAGAGCAAGCCTGCTTAAACAATCCACCATGAAGAGCACATTAACATGTCAGCTTCTTTCAAGATGAGTACACGCTTTTGAAAAAAATAATAATGACGAGGTCCAACTAGGCATATAAATGATAAGAAATAAAATGTAGGGAAAAAAATCCATGGCACTCATATAATTTTTTTAAATGAGCAAAAGAGGCACTCAGAGTTGGAAAAATGAATCGGTCAAAAAGGGAAACTGACACTGAAACACATCCGTATGCATAAAACTGCTTTATCCAGCTAATAAGTGAGAGGGATATTGTCTATAGGTTCTATCCAAAACGCATCACATCTTTATCTACTGATTCAAAGCTGAAAGCTCTGTTAACCCTGACCGCATCACAATAATACTGTGAGTGTAGTTGTTTATCACAAGGAACGGTGAGTGGGCAACAACCTTTGTGATTTCTTTTATGACCAGTTGGTGATGGTAGATGTGGTTAGAAATTTCAGCTAGTGTCCTTTGCATTTTGGTTGTATACAACACCACACACTTTGTGACCAGTGACCAACCTTTGTTTAGTTCAACGGTCCCGGCCTGCCTTCCGGCCACCTCATAGCTAAGGGTGTGTTTAGTTGGTTTCCTAGACAACGCTGGTTAGCAAAACTAAGATAGATTAGCTCTAGCCAGTTTTAACTAATGCAAGTAGCACATGTTTGGTTGCTTGTGCTGGCTAAGTCTGGCTAGGAATCGGTGTGTTTGATTGCCTGATTTAGTTTGCATAGAATTACCTCTTCCTTCACCTGGTAATTTTACCCCTTCGAGGACTAGTCGAACATGTTATGAGCATGGTAGGCGAGCACCTTGACAACCATCATCATATTCGCTTATGCTAAAATTTAGCTTATATCATGCTAAAATTTAGCTTATGCTGATAGTTATATTGAAATATTACGAGAGGAAACAGTGTTCCATGGCTAAAAAAATAGTTCCGAATAAGCAAAAAGCGAACAGGGTGGCAGCAGGCCACCACGCCGCGCCCTTGGCGCATGAGTCGGCAGCCGCGCTGCCTGCGACGACACCTTCGTCCGCGACACCTCCGTAGCATGAGGAAGAAGAATACAGGGGAGCTTGAGGCAAACCACATGCGAGCACCCCCATTGTCCCCACTGTCCGCCATGGAAGGCACCTGGCGGCCGGCGCGAGTGGTGGAGAAGAGCTCGATTTGGAGGCGGGAAAGCTCAATTGGTAGGTGAGAAGCTCAATTCGGCGGTGGGGAAAGTCGATTCGGAGGAGGGGAAGCTCGATTCCGGCGCCAGGAGGCTCAATTCGGGCTCCAGCGAGCTGGAGAAGAAGGCCGGTGGAAGTCGTGCTTGCCGGCTTGCTCGTGCTCGTGCTTGCCGGTGTGCTCGTGCTCCTGCTTGCCAACATGCGCGTGAAGGTCGGCGTGCTAGTGCTTGCCGGCGTGCTCGTGCTTGCCGGCGGCGGTCGCGTGCTCCTGTGTGCTCGTGAAGGCCAGCGTGCTCGTGCGTGTTCGCGTGCTCGTGCTTGCTCGTGCTTGCCGGCAGAGGCTCCTGCGTGCTCGCGTGCTTGTCGGTGGATGTCGCGGCGGGAGATCCTTGCCAGTGGAGGTCGCGTGCTCGCGTGCTTGCCGATGGAGGTCGCGTGCGTGCTCGCGTGCCTGCCGGTGGAGGTCGCGGAGAAGAAGGTGCAGCAGACTCCGCTCGGTGGTGAGACGACACATTGGGGTGCGTAGCCAAGCCTGGCTCAGTGGAAACGACACCTCAGCTCATTTCCAGCGAGCCAGCCTCTTCTCCACTTCTTGGCTTTCTAGAGCCTGGCTTAGCATCTTCGTAGCTATCTAAACACGAAGAAGACTAGCCTCTAAGTCACCAACCAAACACACCCTAATTAATATAGCAGCTAACCTCAAAAGAAATAGAGAAAATTGTGTTTTTACCCTGTCCAGTAAGCTAGTTGTGATTTTGCCCTTCCTTTTTCAACTTTGTGTTTTTACCCATGTTATTTTGAACTGAATGGTCCGTTTGCCCCTGCTTCTGACGTCCGTCAGATGGACATGGATTAAACGAATTAAAAAAATTCTAAATCTGAAAAACAAAGGTCAAATGACCATAGTGCCCCTTATCCTTATCTCCTCGTCCCAAACACATAGGGCGTCGTCGCTCACATCGAGCTTGGGCGCGACTTTTCCAGCGGCGGCTGCAGAAGCACCAAAGGGGAGGGGAGGCCACGACTCCAGGTTTGGGCGTAGGGAGGGGCTACTTCCAGGGCGTGGGGCTGCCTCCCGGTCGTGGCTCCAAGGTGCGGGCGCAGCCTTCCTCTAGGCGCGGGGAGGCTGCGGGCGGCATCATGGCTCACCACCGGCGTCTCGCTGTGAGGTCTCGGCGTCCGCCCGTAGGTCCCGGTGGCTCCGCCGCATGGTCATCTTCTTCTTCTGGGCGCCCGGCCCGTGGTGCAGCTGAGGGCAAGGGGGCAGAGCAGCATCATCGGTCGGCTCCCCGCGGGCTGCCTGCCAGCTCCGGTGGCGCTGGCGGTGGGTCTCGTGCCGCCTCCGCTTAGCTTCGCTCGAGGTGAAGGACGGGACCAAGCGCGACACCTTTGGGCGTCGGATCCGCCAGATCTGGCTGGATCTGGGCCCACCGACACGCCATGGTCGGGAGCGGCACGGTCTCGCCAAGACACCACCCATCACCGGAGCGGAGGGGAGCCGACCTCGCCCGTGTAGTTGCCAGCGGCTCCATGAGTAAGGCTGTCATTAATGGGCGGCTGCTTCCTCTTCCTCCTCTCGAGCCCGCCTCACCCTCACCCTAAGGCGGTTCATTGCTTGCCGGCTCGAGTTTCGAGTTCGACTTTGGACACACTCACCCTAAGGCGGAATCCTCCGCCACG